ATTAATTTTATTTCTAGAAATTTTATGTATTATCACAATACTTATTTATTTAAAGAAGTTGAAATCTTTAATCATTTTACCATTTTTATTATTTCAGTCAGTCAACAAAAATTCAAAATTACTCTGAAAAAAATTAATTTATTTATTAATATTAAAAAAACACTATAATAATTATTATTTTATAATTATTTATTAAATAACAATACTTACATTTATTATGTCATCTTAATTTCCTTGCATGTATCTATACATCTTTTCTTTTTTTTTCCCTTTTTGCAATTTTCCTAAAGTTTTATTTGTTTTTATTTAATATTTAATAATTATTAACAATTATTTATTAAAATGTCTTAATATAATATTACCTCATTATTTTTTGAATAATTTGCTTTACAGTGTTCTATACAAGACTGTTTTGCTTGCCTAAATTCCTAATTATTTGTTTATAAATATTCAAATTAATTACTAAAATATCACAAAAAATATATATCATTTTATAAATGATATAAACAATTTCTACCTGTTTTACTTCTCTCACTTTTTGTTTAATAATCTGTAAAAATAAAATAAAATTATCACTCAACAAAATATATACAGTAGAGCGTCGTTTATCCGAATCAATTGGGGGACTGGGGTTGTTCGGATAACCGATTATGTACGAAAAAATATAACCTATCCCGTGTTGAAATTTTTTTCCGTTGCGTGTCGCTTCGCGTTGAATTTTCGTCGATGTTAAGCCTAATGTAAACTTTTAAAATAATAATCGTGGCTATTGTATCGTTAAAAATGATTTATTTATGTTTTACAAACGAAATAAATACATTGGAAAATATAAAAACAAATAAAAATTATACTTTAGGCCGACTGGAATTCTTTCGGATAACCGACCTTCGGATAAACGACGCTCTACTGTAGTCCTATACATAAATTTTTATTTACAGTTTATTTACAGTTGAACCAACCTGTCTAAGATCCTTGAATGTTTTATTTTCCTCAAATATAAAAATATATTAGTTTAATATTTTAAAATTTAACTCTTTAAAATAATTTAGTAAACTTACATTTTCAGAAGTTTCATTAAAATATTTACTAAAAATTACCTAAAATTTAAAAAACGTTTTTAAATTTTAAGTTATTTACATTCTACATAGTTCAAAATCACTCACATTAAACTGTGATGTTATATTGCATTCATCATTATTGCTCACTTCTGATAAAGAACTTTCAGTAGTTGAAGCAGCACTCGCATCAGTAGTTAAAGCAGTATTTAAATCAGTAGTTGACTCGATTTGCATAGCAGTAGTAGTTACAGATTCATCTTTAACACTGCTTTCCTTTGAAGAGTCAGGAGTCGGAGGTACTTGTTCCTCGTTTTCAGCTACAAAAATTAGATCATAATAAAATTAAATTAATAAATAATTATACTGTATATAAACATAAAACAAACCCGGCTAACCAAAACTCAGCGAAAGAAAAATATAAATAATATAAATCGCTTGTAACATGATTGAATATCACAAAACAGAATGCAAAAGAAGAGCAGCAGTTCTAATGTAAATAATGTTATCCCGTTTGTCATGTGATAGTTAAATACGAATTTTTACGTCAATTGTTAATCAAATAATAATAATACAACCGATCGTAGAGGTATTTTTTAAATAATTCTATTAAATTAAGAAATAAATTTATTTCGATTATTGCATATATATTTAAATAAATTCCTTATAATTAAAGTACTTAATTCAGTAAAAATTAATAAATAGAAATGAATTGTATAAAAGTATATAAGATAGAGAGAATCATTCATTCTCTGTTTCTATTAAGTTAAACTAAATTATATACAATATATAGAGGCTAATCGTAATTAAAATACCATATCCAAAGCTGTTTAGAAAGATTTTTAGCAGTCCAAATGCAACCAACTCTGTATGATGACATTTCGAGACGTGCAAAAGACATTTCGTAATACAATTAGTACCAAAACTCACCACTAAGGTAATTTTGAGGCGGTAAGAAACAAAAAAAAAGAGTTTTGTTTGCATAAACACACCTATTGCAGCCAATTTTTGGTATAAAAGTGGCCTTAACCGTTGAATGTCATTCTTATTAGATATTATGGCCATCGCCTTGCCGAAACGCACAATTTTGAAAAATTGTTTTATGAAAAACAACAGTAAAGCCGCGGCTGCACTTCGAGAATCTTACTGTCTAAAAATTTGTCTAGGACCATTGACTTCGCGATCTCTCAGGAAAATGATCGCTTAATTCAAGAAACCTGGACGTCGGAGAGTCCAATCTCAGTCGATGTCGCAAACCTATCAGTTCACAAGTCGTAGATGATGTTACCATAGCTGTCGTTGAATAATGTTAGATGCTCCGTAGTGCTCGTGCAGTTTCACGGGAATTGGATATAGCCTAAGGCACAGTGTAGAGATACTGACAGAATGTATTGTTATTCGTAAAATCTTAACCAGCCTTTTACCAACAGTCAAAACAACAGTTGCTTGCTACAGACGAGAAACTGACTAGCCTCTCCATTGATATTACTTGTAAAAATGAAAGTATATATGCTATGGTCACGGAAATGACATTTTCACATCGTTGGAGCATTATACTCCCGTAACTGTGACATTTGGGCCACGGAAAATACCAATTGCATTAGCCTAAAGTCTTGCGTAGATTTATAACCACATTCATCCTTGGACCATTTTTCCTCTTCGGAAAAGCTAGTCCTAATGGATCTATGACATGCACTTGGCCTAGGCCCTAGACATTCCGAGAGAGGCTGAATATATCGTATATCGAATTTCACCGTACCCCAACTGCAACAGCAACAATGCATCATCTTCAATCAAAACATGGAGCATCTCTACATATCTGGGCGTTATGTGCAGCAGTTTCTGCAACATTTCATCGATAACAGAATGATAAGTCATACAGTCCCAACTGTCTGACTACCTCGCTTTTCCGGACCTTAGTCTATATGATTTTTGTTTGTGGAGTTATCGAGGACACTTGAAAATTTGGCAACTTCGAAAAATGTTGATAGTATCACACTGTACATGAGAAGCATCTCAGAAGTTCAATTACGATCAACCGTTGACTCACGGTTCATCATCTTCAGGCAGAGAGTGGGAGTGTTTTTGGCGCCCTTGGCAATGCATTAATTTTTTAGTCAATGGAGCATAAATGTGAAGGACGCTTAAGGCTCATTACGCCTCGTGTCCTTGGCACTTGTCCCGTTGCCAAGCATTGTTATGGATCTGCATTCTAGTTTCACATTCCTGCTTCGCTAATGTCTCTATATAGCGTGTCTTGTAAATACAAATAAAAGCTAAAAGTGTCATAGTGATTAATTCTGTTACTGCATTTTTTTGCGAAAATATCTTTCGCCTGTTCTGAAATTTCACCATACCAGATCTGATTGAACTTGGACTACTAAATATTGTATATTTCTAGAGAGCGTTGAATAGGAGTACATTAACTACGACGACTCATTATATGAGAAAAAACATTTATGTCGTGAAAACACTATGTTAATCTGGTGTACACGATTTAAAGGTGACAAGTAAATACTTGATTCATATATCGCTGACAATTATATAAAAGCTACCACATTATTTTAAAAAGCGAATCTATTAAATTATTTATTTATTATTGTGAGGATCGTAGGCCCGATTTTGCGCTAATTTAAGAAAATTCTTAAGCCTATTTCGTGGTCGCGTTCGTTAAGAAAACATCGCACAGAAAACGGATTGAATATCACCTTTACTAGCAACTAATGTTCGAGAATTGTAACAATCGAGTGTTAAATTAAACAACCTATTGTTAAAGGAGGAGAAAGTCAACCGTTGGACAAGTAAATAGAAGGAATCGTACAAGTCTCGAACCAAATATGGTCATAGCAGCTCCATATAACGACGGTTTTACGTCATCCACGATCCACCTCTGACCCAACACCTGCAAAATCAATCTTCGTCTCCAACAACATCCTGATAGGTTTTCCCAGGGCTAGATCGGATAAACATATGTTATTTTCGTTTATAAGCCTGACTACCTGTTATTTCTCGGACCTATGGGTGTACCCATCACACTCCCCACTCGACAACTAGCCCTCGTAGCCATCCGACGACAAAGTGAGCGGGTTTAACCAACTCGTTGCCGAGCTAAGCGGTCTAAATGGAACCCCTCTTTGTCCCCGGCTTCTCACATTATTAATTAGCTTATTAAAATATTAACACATTTTAATAGTATAAAAAATTTTTAACTACTACATCGTAAATCAATACTATCACGTGATAAGATACATAAATTTTCACTGGTACAGTTGTATGATATGAAAGATTATTATTAAATCTCTCTCATACAGCTGTACTTATTTAAATTCACAAAAGCTTTATAATTTATATTATTTTAAATTATAAATTTCACGCTTATTTTCAGAAATATCGGCGATTATATTAAAGTCTTATTTTCCACACTTTACTACTTTAAGAAAATCGTATTTTATGGAGAAAGTTAAACAATTTTTATAATTAAAGTTGATTGTAACCAAAGAGATCAGAATCTGCCTTCACAAAACAAAATTATTTTTTTTTTTTAATATTGATTTCTAAATGCATTTAAAAGATGGAAAATTTCAAATAAATTTTATCTATAACGTTATAAGTAACAAACCATTTATTCGTAAAGAATAAGCGATATAATTTTTACAAAATATATACAGCGTGTGTCGTGAAATTTGCATTGAAGGGAAGCATCCGCAATCAACGAAAGGATTATAATTCTCCTACGAGTTTTCCGTTTGTTAAATGAAAGTGTAACCAGAAAAGACAGTGTAACCAGGTTACACATATCAACAAATTGTGGTGTCATTACTTTTTTGTTTAAGCATCCTGCCCCTTTCTGTCGAATGCTGATGCTTTCCAGAAAAATCTTCGTGTCACACGATGCAGCATGGAAAGTTTGAGAATTTGATGACACACCCTGTATATATATATAAGCGTATAAATATAATGAATATTTTATGCTGAGAAATAGCAATTTGAATCTTTATAGTTAATGTGCTTGCACTAAAAGGAAGCTGAACTTTTTCTGTTTATTGATTTAATGTCCTTATATTTTCTTATATAACAACCATAATGCTCATATATTATTCTATATATTTATTTTTATTTTTATTTTTATTTGCTCACCTGATGTCCTTATATTTCTTTCTCATACGAACAAACAGTATTGTTTATTTCACTTGTGTGCTTTTACATTTACATGTTTTACTAGAAATTTGGTTGCAAAGTTTATAACATCAAATATAAGCGTCAACATTAAATCTACTTCATGTAATTTTCCATCATCAGGATTCCTTTATTTTTTGAAGCATCATACATACTTAAAAAAATAGCTAACAATTGCATGGAGGGTATGAGCGGTCACTGCGGCAGGGATATTAGGGACGTACCTTTTTGAGAATTTCAAAATTGGGTCGTGACCTGTTGCACATGATAGAAAACTATATAGAGAACAACTCGTCGCTACAAAACCAGCATAAGAAATTACTTCCATATTAGTGTTAATGTTGTTTTGAAACATCCTGTTTATCTAAGTCGCTGCATTTAATCACTGCTGCTACTTATCAGTTGTATGATGATGATGATGATGATGATGATGTTAAGGCTGACTGTAAGCTCTTTCGTGATGAACTTTAAAAATTATTATAAAATTAACGAATTCAATTTTCAAAATTCTGAATAGTAAAATGCCCTGGTGGCACTAAAAGTTTTTTCACATCAATAGGCCGATTGGTGAGGGATTGGCCTAACGGATGATGATGATGATGATGTTAAGGCTGACTGTAAGCTCTTTCGTGATGAACTTTAAAAATTATTATAAAATTAACAAATTCAATTTTCAAAATTCTGAATTGTAAATTTTTAAATAAATGTAATAAAAAACACAAACTGTATAAAATTTAATGAAATAAACAGCCATCCACTGATGCTCAACCCTTCCCCCTCCCCCTTGTTTGACTTTTGTCCAATTAGTTGAAACCTCCTCCCTCCCTTTCATATAAATATATTGAAGGAGAAAGGTAAACTGGCTGAAAATACATTGGATGAGGATTTGGAAAAGTACACCATATACTATTTTATGAAAGTCACAGAACTTAAGACTTTAGATTTATCACCAACCAGTCACAGGAGACTGCCAAAATTTGAAAGAACCACACTAATACCTTTGTTTAAAGATGTCAGACCAATTACATATGAAAAATATAATATGATGCAGTTATGGCCTTATGTACTTCCTATGTATCATGAATATTTCAAAATACTTGCATAAAAAAGAGCCGAAATGAAAAGCAGTGTCAAGTGATAAGCTCATAACAATGATAAACTTATCAAAAAATAGTTTAACAATAAGTAAGGATTTTTAATGTTGAGAATAAACAACAATATTTTATTTCTTGTTATTATTTGTAAACAAACTCAAAATAAAACACAATGTATTTCAAGTAAAATTGGATTTTAGATAATTGAAATTTAATGACTTTACACCACTTTCATAATTATTGAACTGTAAGTTAATTTATGACCCAGAAAGAATATATTGATTTAGTTAAATTCACATAGAAACATTGCCAAATTAGTACACTTTATTTATATTTTTGAATCAACTAAAATGCAAACTTTTAGATATCTTGAAAAAAGACAAAATGGATACCACTTTCAAAATAAACAGTTCAAATGTTTATAATATTGATATATTAAATTTTAGAATGTCAATATACTGAAACCAATAAAATACTGACTTATCGACAAAGTTGAATATTGGTATTTATTGTCAATGATAAGCAACTCTACTTGTTTCAGCATAACAATTTTTCCAGCTATCAGAAGATTGCACTACAGTATTAAGAATTTGTGAGCTGTAACAACCCCCTTAAGAACTTTTTAACATCTCCATTACCAACATACCAATATTCACTATCTTTCAGTGTGTCAATAATAGATGCATTCAGTGAATAAAAAGTATGCAGCACTTTACTAGCACTATAAAGCAGCATTGTAAGATTGGTTAGATGTGTTCAGTTCCTTAACCAACAAATGTAGTAGTGATTCAGAACTCNATCATTGAAAAAAATTAATTTATAATTAAATTATGTAAAATTAATTAAAAACTTTTGAGTATACTAGTAAAAACTGAAACTTTTCATATTAATTGCATATAAATTTAAAATTATTTCAGAAATTGGATTACTATTTTTCATTTTCTTACTAAATTATTGATAAGAAATACTGTATATGTACAGTAAAGCGTCGATTTTCTGAAAGTCAGTTATCCAAAAGAATTCCAGTTGGCAAATTTAAATTTTAGCCAGTGCTGTGGCGCTTCAATCTTTGGCTATGTCTTGGGCTACTCAAATATTTTACGTTTTTGATACTAAATTAACATCTGAAGTATAATTTTTTATTATTTTTATATTTTTCAATATATTTATTTTGTTTGTACAAAATAAAAAAATAATTTTTAACGATACAATAGTCTTTGTTAGGCTTAACATCGACGAAAATTCAACGCGAAGCGACACGCAACGGAGAAAAATTTCGACATCGGTTACGTTAAACTATTTTTTCGTACGTAAATCAGTTATCCGAAATATCAGTTATCCGGACAAACCCAGTCCCCAATTGATTCGGAAAATCGACGCTCTACTGTAATTTGCAGTTAATATTGTTTAAATGTTGTCTTAATTTTACATCTTTTCTTAGCGGTCCCACCAGTGGCCAAGCGGTTCCGTGGAGTTTTCCGGGTTTTCTCCACGTCTGTAACGCCTGAATAGGAGCTAGTTACCCTTTAAAAGACCTCCCGGAAAGCATCCCTCTAGGAAAATCAAGTGTTGCGTTGCCATAACTTAATAAAACAAACCATTTAGGGAAACCCTATTATAGGGGTAATAAAGATTTCATCTGATTTTTAAATTATATTAACAATGAAATTACTTAAAATGTATACAGCTTATGTATGGATTCAGTACTTTATTTTGTAAAACTTTGAAACAAATTTTATTGCATGTTAGATAATTAAAAATGATTTGTTTTGCATGATTTCAATAGACATTGAGAAGAACTTTGTTAAAATTATAATTAAACTATACGGAATCTTACTTTCATTAAATTTGAATTTATTTATACAATTAATTTTATTTCTAGAAATTTTATGTATTATCACAATACTTATTTATTTAAAGAAGTTGAAATCTTTAATCATTTTACCATTTTTATTATTTCAGTCAGTCAACAAAAATTCAAAATTACTCTGAAAAAAATTAATTTATTTATTAATATTAAAAAAAGATGGCGCCTAA